AGTGTATGAGGGTTCCTTTTTCTCTTCATCACCAACACTTGTTTTTATCTTTTTTATATAAGTAGTTCCACCCCAAGATGGGGCTAAAATTCCCCACCCTGAGAACCAGAGTCACATACTCAACCTACCGACGCCTCTATTTTATTATAGCAATTCTAGTAAATAAGAAGCGGTATCTCATTGTGATTTTAATTTTTAATTTTCCTGATGCCTAATGATACTGAGCATTGTTTCATGTGCTTATTGGCAAGTTTTATATTTGGGGAAGTGACTATTCATAATCATTGTCTATTTAAATTCCCTCAGCCTGAAGTTCCACTCCCTCATCTTCAATCAAGTCTCTGATCAAAGACTACCTACTCAAATATGCCTTTTTTCACCAGTCTATTTATGATACCACCTCCCTCGGGCTCTAATCATATTTTTTTATTCTTCACACAATTTATGATTTTATTTTCTTACCTCCAAACTAGAATAAATGCTTTTTGACAGCAAAGACTTTGTTATCTTTGTTCATCTTTGCCATCCTTAGAACATTGCCTGCCACATTGTAGGCTTTCAATAAATATTTGTGGAGGAAGTGGAATGACTCCAGACAACAACAGGAGAGAAAATAAAGTTTTTCTGTTACCTTTGGAGTTTCTTTCAACAAAGTACACAGGTTTATTTCACCTTGGCAAAATAAATGCCATATTATTAATACCTAATATAAATCCATTTTGAATATACATAAGAGATAAGGAGTTTAAACAGATTGGTTAAAAATAAGTTTAATTTTCATAGAGATTTTATTATTCCTCGTTGACAAATTCTTAGAACAAAGTTTAACTGTCATAATTGTTATCTTATACATTTACTTTATACACTGTACATGTACATACTGTCACTTGAGGTTAAGATGTTCATCTCTTATGCTCTGACAGGAAATCAATACTATATATGATCTTACAGCATTTTTTAGAGCACAAAATTGTATATGAATGTATAGGCCAATTATACTTAATGTAATTACTGATCTATTTGAGTTTAAATTAATATTTATCCTTATTCTATATTTTTTTATCTTTAGATTTTTAAAATTACATTTGCCTCCTGTATTAGCTTATGGTAATAACTTTCTTGATTTATTAATGTTGAACAAAAATTAGTATTTGTGTCACTTTGTGAAAAGTGCAATGATCTTAGGACACTTCCACTCCACTTATTTCCTTCTTACATATGCTATTTAATTGTTTGTGTATTTGAAACCCCATAGTATATTATTTGTAAGTATCTTAGATTTATCTATATGTTTACCCTTCTCATTATATTCCATTTCTTCCTTCATCTACATGCTCCCCCCTAGAATCATTTTCCTGTGCTTGAAGAATACTCTTTAGTTTTTCCTTCATTGCAGGTATGCTGTTATCTATATTTTTTTCTAAAAATGACTTTATTTTGACTTCATTAAATTGTTTTCAATAAACTTTATGAAAAATACATGATTTCATATTGAAGTATCTATTTTGTTAGTTATAGGCTTCTAGGCTGTCAGATATTTTCTGTCAGCATGTTGGGGGTATTACTCCAGTGGTTTCCCTTTTCCATTATTGCTATTTTTAAGTCAGTTGTTAGATCTATTGTTTTACTTTGGAGGTTGTCTTTTTTCTGTGGCTACAGGTATTTTTTTTCCATATTTTTCTTTATATATAGATAGATTCCAATTAGTTAACATATAGTTTAGTATTGGTTTCAGGATTTGAATTTAGTGATTCATTACTTACATATAACACCCAGACTCATCCCATCAAGTGCCCTCTTTAATGCCCATCAACACATTTAATCTATCCCCCACCCACCTTGCTGGTGAGGTTTTTTTGGTTTTGTTTTGTTTTAAAGTTTATTTTGAGAGAGAGGCAGACAGACAGAGAGTGCCCTTGCACATGCAAGTGGGGGAGGGGCAGAGAGAGAGAGAGGGAAAAAGAATCCCAAGCAGGCTCTCTACTGTCTGCACAGAGCTGGACACGGGGCTCAATCTTACAAACCATGAGATCATGACCTGAGCCCATATCGAGTCAGACTCAACCCACTGGATCACCCAGGTGCCCTGCTGGTTAAGTTTCTAATCTTTGTCTTTCTTTTCAGCAGTTTTCCTACATAACAAACAATTCTGTGAGAAGGCTGCATTTTCCAAAGATCACTGCAACAATAACTCCCACCTCAGAAGCTCTTCTAGGAAGCTTGCCATTTTCCTTATCAGGAGATAAGGGTCTTTAACCACTTTTCCTTGCACTTGAGGTCTTTTTGTCTACTTCAAACAATAGAGTACAGTTGAAATGATACTATGTGACTTCCAAAACTAGGACTTTAAAAATGCCATGTACTTCTGCCATCCTCTCTTGGGAAATTCATTCTTGAACCTCTGGTATGATGCTGTGAGAAAACTCAAGCAGCCTCTGGACATACCTATATACATGGGAATAACAGCTGCTTTTAGGACTAGGTGGTTGGTGGAAGCTGGAAGGACTTCAAGAAGACTGTTAGTGAAAGCCTGAAGGGCCACATGGAGAGCTAAAGGAAAGCAATAAAAATTTATTGGAAGCTGAAGGCAAGAATGACACAGTAATGTGAAAAATGGAAAATATACCTAAATGAATTCAGTAATCTGGCTAAGGTGATTTCCCAGCAGAGTACTGACAGAGACACCTGCCTTCTTCTTACTGCCTATGATAAAATGCAAGAGGCCAAATTAAAGAATGATCTGTTAAATATGAAGGAACCAGGACTTGCCAAGTTTGACAATAATACTGTTCCTCCTTCCCAGCCTCCCCATGTGGTAAGTTAGTCTTTCGTTAAGACAGGACCTCAGACCAAAATCAAATCTGGAGTGGGTCTGGGGGAGATCATTTGTAAAGACCTCAGAGAGATTCAAGGTAGTGCTTCATGGAACATTTCAGACTGACAAAATCCCCTCTGATGATTTTAAGGGGTCCGTAGCAGATCTTATCAAATAACAGAGCTTCTACGAATCTTACAAGTATTATCCTGCAGCATTGTCACAGGGAGCCCCAGGTAGGGAAGTTCTTATCTCAAACAGAGTTGTAGTGGTATGTTTTATCTAATAAGGTGAACCTCACTAAGCTGTTTAGGAAACCCACAGAGTTCTTAAGAGAATTGTTTTGGTAGAAGTAAAATTTGAACTAAAACAGAAAAAAAAAAAAAAAAAGGCCAAAACAAAGGCGGGGGCACCTAGGTGGCTCAGTTGGTTAAATGTCTGACTTCAGCTCAGGTCATGATCTCGTGGTCTGTGGGTTCAAGCCCTGCATCGGGCTCTGTGCTGACAGCTCAGAGCCTGGAGCCTGCTTCAGATTCTGTGTCTCCCTCTCTCTCTCTTTCAAAAATAAATAAAACTCAGGGGAATAAAAGAACTTTGGACTCCTAATATTTTCCATCTAGGAAGCAGATTGAGGAAGCTTTGTAGTTACTAATTGAGTTTTCTTATGGAAAATAAAGGTTTTTAACTCAAAGGGCAGATTTTCAAAAAATGGTTATGTTTCCCATCCCATATTCTTCTAAAATCTTGCCAGTCTCCTTTTTCAGAGGTGAACTCTATGTTCTCCTTGAACTTGGGTGGGTCTTTGTGACTGCCTTGACCAAGACAGTATGGCAAGAGTGATGCTACGTAGCTTCCAAGACTATGTCAAAAGAATGGCATGCAATTTTGCCTTGCTCTCTTGGATCCAAGCCCAAGTAGCCAGGGAGAAGACCCATATGGAAAGACTGGGAGATCCTCTCCCTCACCCCGTTATGAACTCAGTATTAGTGTCCCTTCAAAATTCATATTTTGAAATCCCAACCCTCAATGTGGTGGCATTTGAAGGTAGGGACTTTGGGAGGTTATTACCTTTAAACAAGGGCATGAGAGTGAGGCCTCCCCACCCCCATGATGGAATTAGTGCCCTTTGAGAAAAAGAAGCCAGAGCTCACTTTCTGTGCTACATGAGGACACAGGGAGAAAGCAGCCATCTGTAAGCCAGAAAAAGGCAATTAACCAGGAACTAAATCTGCTGGAAATTTGATCTTGGACTTCCCAGTCTCCAGGTGAAGTAAATGTCTTGTAGTTTCAGCCATCCAGCCTATGGTATTTTGTTATAGCAGCCCAAGCTAAGACACAGTGCTTCTTGAATATGTGGCTTGATGTCTTTTTCAGTTTTGGAAAATTCTCAACCCTTATTTCCTCAAATACATTTATGCAATGCTTTGTATAATGTATAATGAGCCCTGAGGTCAAGGAAAATGAGGAATAGTGCCTCCAAGAATGTCACACTATGATTTTCCAGTCTATTCTTTTTTTTAAATGTTTACTTATTTTTGATGTTGGAAGGGGCAGAGAGAGAGACACACACACAGATTCCAAAGCAGGTTCCAGGCTCTGAGCTGTCAGCACAGAGTCTGATGCCGGGCTTGAACCCATAAACTGTGAGATTATGACCTGAGCTGAAGTCAGATGTTTAACGGACTGAGCCACCCAGGCACCCCTCCAAACTCTATTCTTAAAGCCAGGAAGCATGAAAATAAGTTAAAGTCATTCATCCTTGGAAAAGGTCTTAGACTTAACTTTCTTGGGACAGATGCTCCCCTTCTTACAACTCCTCCTCTGATCTCTGTGAGGAAAAGATCAGTCCGGCCGTCCTCATATCAACACCTCTCTATACGGTTTTGGTCAGTCAGAATTCTACCTTGCTACCAGTATTTGAACCAGTAGCAAACACTGGATGGCAATTCTCCCACAGACAGAAAAAGTATCCCACAGATACTCCCCTAGTATTTGTTCAACTTTAAATTTCATCCATGGCTCAAAGCGGTAAGTAAAAAACATCTAGAAGAAAACACAAATTTTAACAGAGGGGAGGCTTTTTGTGTGTGTGTGTGTGTGCTGTATATCACTAATTGAATCTTCTGTAATATGCATGTGTTACATTAGTAAAATTAATGAAAAAAATTTATTCAAATTGCTAATTAAAACACATCATTAATACCCACAACATGAACTTAATGTTATCCAAGGGACAACCAATTCACATATGATTATTATAACACCATAATCTGACCTTGAATTTCTCATGTAGACAACAGGCCCAACACATTACAATTTGGGAGAAGCTATTTTCTGGGGTCTTCCAAGATGTTTGCAGAAAAAGGTTAGAATTTGTTTCCAGGCATCTTCCTGGGCCTTAGAATGAGCCCTGGGCACCCCACCCCAGATCACAGGTTTGTTCAGTATTTTATGCATAGAAGCTGGGCACAGGGGGAAGTAAGGAGGCTCAATGTAATGCCCAGTCCCAGGATAAGAAATGATTTCAAGTTTTCCCTTTCCATGGGCCTGTAACCGTTCAGATGCTATTTGGGCATATAACTCACTACTCCAGTTATGGTCATCCTGACCAACGATGAAGAGGATGGGCCCCTGGGCCTTCTCAATTGGAATCATGCTGGGGTTCTCACACCCTCCTACAGCATCATTCCGTATATCCACAACGTCCAGGAGGCCTGAGTAAACGACCTTGATTCTCCTCAGATCAAAGCCCAATGGAGGGATGCAAGTCTGCTTGTAGTGTATAGGTCTGTTTGCACAGATCCCAGAGCCATTGATGGAAACTGTGGCTGAGATGTTCTTTAAAAATGAGGCCATGGAGAGACAAATATCAGCCCCTAAAGAAAAGCCCAGAAGCCCAATGCCTGGGCCCTTTACCTGGAAGAAAAGAAGAAAGAACAATCAAGAATGTATCTAACAGAAAAATATTCTACAATGATGGCAGTATTATTCAATAGCAGCTCACCTAGTGAGTGTTCATACTTGGGGTCTGAGTGAAGCTGAGGATAGAGGAAAATGGGGGCTTGGAAGTAGATGTCCTATTAGAGATTGACAAAAAAATGAAAGAAAGAAAGAGAAGAAAATGGGCATCAGGCTGAGTCAGTGCGTAGAGCACATGACTCTTGATCTTAGGGTCCTGTGTTCGAGCCCCACTTTGGACACAGAGATTAGTTTAAAAAATAAATAAATAAAGGTATTATCTATTTTTTAAAAAAAGAAAAAAATTTTAATGTAACTAGAGATGCTGCTACCTTTAATTTGTGAATTGACCACAAGAGTATCAACCTCAGCTCAACCTCAAACTCTCTTCCCCATATAAAAATATCTGGCTGAACACATGGCAAACAAATCTTTTTTTTTCTTTTTCCATGGCAATCAAGTCTTAACCTCACTGCCAAGTCTGGGAATCATTTACAAATGTTCTAGAGAATCATCCACTAAAGAATGCCCAATTACGGAGCCTGTGAAGTTCAGGCCCTCATTCAGGTGGGCACAATCAAAGTCTCAATGGGCCTAGGTATCTAACAGTATGGAACCAAGTTCTGTTCTAAGAAGTAAAAGATTCATCAAACCCCATCTAAATACACTACCAAATAATTAACTTTATAGAAACAAAGTAAGACTTCAGAATCAAATTAAGTAGTTCTTAGCTTTTGAAATACATAAGCAAGTTCTGATCAAAGTCTGAAAATACACATAAAGATTAAAAAATCAAAATAAAAATATTTCAGTGAAGGAAACAAGCAACAAAATTAAGAGGTAACCTAAAGAATGGGAGAAGATACTTGCAAATTATGTATCTTTAAATGGGTAGTATCCAAAATATAGAAAGAATGTATAAAACCCAACACTCAAAAAACATAATCCAATTAAAAGATGGGCAGGGACACCCAGCCAGCTCAGTCAGTAAAGCATGTGACTCTTAATCTCAGGGTCCTGAGTTCAAGCCCCACATTGGGCATGGAACCTACTTAAACATAGATAGCTTTAAAAAAAGAAAGAAAAATGGGCAGAAGACATGAATAGGCATTTCTTCAAGGAAGACATAAAAGCCAAAAAAAAAAAAATCAGGGACCTGCAAATGAAAACTACGAGATATCACCTCACACCTGTCAGAACAGCTAAAATCAACAACACAAGAAACAAGTGTTAGTGAGGAAGTGAAGAAAAAGGAACACTCATGTATGGTTGGTGGGAATGCAAACTGTTGGATCTACTGTAGAAACCAGTATGGAGGTTCCTCAAAAAGTTAAAAATAGAACCTACAATCCAGTAATTGCACTATGGGGTATTTACCCCCAAAATACCAAAACACTAATACAAAGGGATACATGCACCCCTATGCTTAAAAACAATTTTTTTAATGTTTATTTTTGAGAGGAAGGAACAGAGCATGAGTGGAGGAGGGGCAGAGATAGAGAGGGAGACACAGAATCTGAAGCAGGCTCCAGGCTCTGAGCTGTCAGCACAGAGCCCTCTGTGGGGCTCTCACAAACTCACAAACTGTGAGATCATGAGCTGAGCCAAAGTCAGACGCTTAGGCGGCTAAGCCACCCAGGCACCCCTGCACGCCTATGATTATTCAAGCAATGTTTACAGTAGCTAAATTATGAATCAGCCCAAGTACGCATGATAGTTGAATGGATAAAAATGTGGTGTGTGTATATAGATAGACAGAAATAATTGAGCCATAAAAAAGAATGAAATCTTGCCATTTGTAACCACATGGATAGAACTAGAGAGTATAATGTTAAGTGAAATAAGTCAGAGAAGGACAAATGCCATAGAATTTCACTCATATGTGGAATTTGAGAAACAAAATAAATGAGCAAAGGGGAAGAGAGAGACAGAGACAAATCAACAGATTCTTAACTATAGAGAACAAACTGATGGTTACCAGAGAGGAAGGTGGGTGAGGTTAAATAGGTGTTGGGGATTAAGGCTGCACTTGTGATGGGCTGTTGGCTAACTATATTGCACACATGAAAGTAATATAATACTGTATGTTACCTATACTGGAACTAAAATTTTAAAAACTTAATTAAAGGGGCATCTGGATGGCTCAGTCAGTTGAACATCCAACTCTTGATCTTTGCAGGTTGCGATCTCACAATTTTGTGAGTTGGAGCCACATATTGGGCTCTACGCTGACAACAGGGAGCCTGCTTGGGATTTTCTTTCTCCCCCTCTCTCTGTCCCTCCCCTACTTGTTTTCTCTCTCAAAATAAATAAATAAACATTAAAAGAAACATTAATTGAAAAAAGGATGCAAAACTAATTAGAAATTCCATTTGTATAACAAGAGGAATTTTAACGTTCCTGAATAATTCCTTTAAAGAAAATCTCACATGACTTTTATTATTAATTCTACATTACTAAGCCATATGACAGAGAAAGTATAAATGGACACCTAAAGCCAAGGAAGTCTCCAAAAGAAATCTCCGTGAAAGAAGACTAAAGCAGCATCAGGGCCTCTGGCACAGGTGAGTGCAAAGTGACACCATCTCTGCATGTATTTCTAGAGAGAATGATACAATAAAGGACATTAGGAGAACCTGGGAGTGTTGAAGCATGTAACACACAGCTTCTTCAAAGTAGCCCAGGTCTATGATATCCAATTCATTGGGAAGATCTTCAAAGTTATAAAAAGCTAGCGCCAACGTGGCAAAGCCATGACCAGCCAGAAGGCTGGCTCTATATTCCAACAGGCCTCCTGCAACTCCAAAGATGTCAATGATCCCTGGGAAAGGTCCAGGTCCTAGAGAAGAGAATAATATAAAGGAAAGGCATTATATACATTTAATGAGTTCATTTTCCTTTTAGAGATCTTTCTAAATTATTTAGTGGGAACCTATGAATCAAAGGCAAAAATCACCTCCCCAAGTTACTGCTGAAAAGGAATACAATGGGGCGCCTGGGCGGCTCAGTCGGTTAAGTATCGGACTTCAGCTCAGGTCATGATGTCACAGTTTGTGGGTTCGAGCCTCGCGTAGGGCTCTGTGCTAACAGCTAACTCAGAGCCTGGAGCCTGTCTTCAGATTCTGTATCTCCTTCTCTCTCTGACCCTCCCCTGCTCACGCTGTCTCTCTCTGACTCTCAAAAATAAATTTAAAACATTAAAAAAATTTTTTTAAAGGAATGTAAGTACCTTGGAAGGAGGAAAATCTAGAAAGTACCTTCTCAGTGATGATTTATCTTCCATATGATTATATAAATTATCTAGAAGATTCTAAGAATCTTTAGTTGTCAGAAAGAGTAACAAAGCCTTTCATTAATGACTGCAGCATGGAAGGAGGAATTTCACGGTTTAGACAGTGTTGATTCACAGTGTCCTGTTAGGGGATTGAACATAAAATTAAGAATCTCAAAATAAAGCTTTATGTTGTGTTGCATCAACTCTTGGCTGTGTGTGTGTGTGTGTGTGTGTGTGAGTGTGTGTGTGCGCGCGAGCGCGCACATTTCAGATGTCTATCTAGAAAGAGGAAAGAAAAATAAATAGCCAGAGATGACTTCAGGCGAGAAAGCCAGAGGAGTCTGAACTGTGACCTGTGGCACCGTGGGATACGGGATACAAAGAAGTGAAGACGCCTAGGGAACCTACGACACTAAAGAGGGATGACATGGCAATAGCTTCCTTGATCGTTATCATTTTCCCTAAGACCAGTCTGGCTGATGAGATCTATAGAGTAGTTTTTAATAGCAAGGTGGACAACATGCCTACCCATCTTGATTTTTTTTTTTTTTTTTTTTTTTTACCTGCAGAATACCCACCTCGTTGAAATATTACGGAGATTGTAAGAGATATTGCAAGCAAAACGCGTAACACAAAAGCCCAACATATCAAAGTACACATTCCGGTTTGGCCACTGGCTTAGTAATCATCAGCTTCTCTGTCCTTGGACGATCTAAATACCCCCTGAAGCAGTACCAGATACACTGACCACCGGGGCACCCTGTCCTGCATGCCTAGCACCCCACACTCACCTGGCGGCAGGAAGAGCGTGGCGCGCAACCGGCCCTCGCGCACCGGCACCCGCCGCACCCCCGGCCGCAGGAAGGCGCGCTCCAGCATCGCCCAGCCCAGGAGCCGCCTGGCGTCAGGCTTGTGGCCCTCGAGCACCTCCAGCTCCACGGCGAAGGGCGTCTGCACGTCCCGCTTCACAAACCGCCAAAAAGGCTTCTCGGGCTCCAGCGCCCAAAGCAGCCCCATGGGCTCGAGCCCCGTGAAGCTGCCGCCCAGCGCGCGTGCGCACGCCAGGTCCAGGCCGCCGCCGGCGTCCGCTTCGTACCGCGCGTGGGACCGGAAGAGCGCGCCATTCTCGTCGCGCAGGGACGCGCGCAGCGTGACGGGCTGTCCCGGGAACAGACCTCGCACGGCGATGCGCACGGGCTCGTCCCAGCTGCTGCGGCCCGCGGGCTCCAGGATCACAGTCGCCATCCCTGCGCGAAGTCGCGGGTAGCGCCCGGCCGCAGTCGCGTCAGGCCGTGGAGAGCGCGAGAGAGGCCCGAAGAGGTCAGGCGTCCCCTGGCACCGGATCGGTGGGTGGCGGAGCCGCGTCAGGAGGCGTCAGGGCGCTTCAGATCTGTGGACCGCGCCCCCGGGACTCGCCTCAAGTAAAAGCAGCAGGTCGTTCTCAGGGGCTGAGCGGTGCACACGCAGGGCGTCCTGAAATCTGGGTGTAGCGTCGAGCCCGTCTTCAGAACGCTTCTCTCCCTCTGGCCATTCTTTCTTGCTGACGTGAAAGCTGTTGGGTAATCATCTCGTGGTGAAACTACAAGCTGAATAGGCTTAGGCAGAATTCCAAGAATTCCAGCCCCTTCTCCGAAAAGGGCAACTTTTTTTTTTTTCAACTTTCAGTGAATTATAACGTACACACAAAAACCCCTCAGACCCTTAGCGTACAATCCAGTAAATTTTCACAACCGGAACATTCCCGTGCAACCAAGCACAGAAATCCAGAAACATCATCGCCAGCACTCTAGCAGCCACCCTCATGCTTGCTCTGGGCACCTCCGCTGTCCCCAAAGGTACTCTATCCTTCTCCAACAAAATGGGTTGTTTTGCGGGAATGAATCCTTCCGTGCATCTTTAGTGCTTTCTGCTTTGGCTTAACATTATGTTTTTGAGATTCATGTATATTGTTAGTTGTAGTTACGTTTATTATCACTGCTTTTGCTATTCCATTTTGTGATAGGAAAAGGATTTGTCAATTTTACTACCAATAGGCATTTGATAGCTCTCAGTTGGGACTTTAGTGCTATGAACATTCAAGAACCTATCGTTTGATGGACATATATATGCTTTTCAGTGGAGTATATACCGGGGAGTGGAATTGCTGTATGGTAGGGAATGCATGGGTTTCAACTTCAGTAGATACTGAAAGTCAACCTTTTGAGTGTGACCCTTGAAGCAATATAATGTTCAAAGATGCCCAGTTTTATTATACATATAACGTATACATATACATAACATATACATATACATAAAACATATAAAAATATGTTTTATTTACACATATAACAGTTATTCTTTATCAATGTCCAAATGCTTTACATACAAAATTCAACGTGTTCACAAAACACTGGGATTGTACTTCATATATTGCAAAGGAAGAACTTGAGGCTTGGTAAATATGAAGCCACGAAGTTTACCCTCTAATAAGTGACAGAGCTTTGACCAACTCCAAATGTGGAACTCAAAGGTGAGCAGCAGCATGGTGGTGAGGTTCACCATAATTAGAGTTCAAGGTCTGGCTTCATTAACTAGTTCTGTAGCCTTAAGCAATTTTCCCCCCCTAGGTCTCAGAGTTCTTGTGTAAACATGAACTTGTGTAACATGGTAAAAGCCTCTCATAGAGGATCAAACATGATACTGTACATGAAAGCCTTAGACTATGTGAAGCAAAACATAATGTTTGATTTTATAATTGCTGGAGACTGAACCCATTTGCGTTTCATTTCTCATGGTCTCCAGATCATTGCCAACGGTTTGTATATTGCTTTTTAAACTGTGTATAAGAAAAATCATAGTTCTTTTTTAGAGGAAAAATACATTAAAATTTTTAAGTTTATTTATTTTTGAGAGAGAGAGAGAGAGTGAGCAGGGATGAGGCAGAGAGAGAGGGAGAGAGAAAATCCCAAGCTGGCTCTGCACTGACAGAGCCCCCCGGAGCTCAAACTCACGAACCGCCAGGTCATGACCTGACCCAAAATCAATAGACAGAGGCTTAACTGACTGAGCCACCCAGGCACTCCCAAAAATACATATTTTTTGCAACAGATGTAAGCAATATGGAAACGTTTAAAATGTGAAATGATAGAATCTTTTCTTTCAGTTCCCTTTCCTCCAAAGATGGATGACTACATCTTAATTTTTTTCTGAGTGTTTGCAGTGTGTAAGCAAATGAGAGTGTGAACATACTGTATTTACTGTTCTGCAACTTGCATATCTATGTTTTCATTTTTCTGTATATACAGGAATAGAATTGATAGGCCACGTAGTAACTCTATGTTTAACCTTTTGAGGAGCTACCAGACTGCTTGCCAAAGTATCTGCACCATTTTACACTCCCACAGCAGTGTATGAGAGTTTCAGTTTCTCCACATCCTTGCAACCCTCATTATTATGTCTTTTTCATTATAAACATCCTAGTGGGTAATAGTCTCTTTGTAGTTTTGATTTGCATTTCCTTGATAGCTAACGACGTTGAGCATCTTTTCATGTACTTGACCATTATATATCTTTGGAGAAATGTCTATTTAGATCCTTGTCCTGTTTTGTTTTTTTTTTAAGTTGGGCTGTCTTTTTATTATTGAGTTGAAAACGTTCTTTATATATTCTACATACATGTCCCTTATCAAATATGTGATTGACAAATATTTTCTCCCATTCTGTGAGTTCTTTTATTTTTTTTAATTAAAAAAAAATTTTAAGTAGGCTCCATGCCAATGTGGAGGTTGAACTCATGACCTTCAGATTAAGAGTCACATGTTCTACCCACTAAGCCAGCCAGGTGCCCGTATTTTTTTTTTTAATGGTATCCTTTGATGCATGAAAGTTTTTAGATTTTTTTTTTTTTTTTAGGTTATGGTTTTTTTTTTTTTTTTAAGTAAGCTCTATGCTCAGTGTGGACATAGTCTACTTGGGGACTCATGACCCTAAGATCAAGAGTTGCATGTCCACTGACTAAGCTAGCCAGGTGCCCCTACTCTTTTTTTTTTTCTTCTAACAGTTCTGTACTTTTAAGCTCGTAATTTTAAGCTCTTACCTGTAGGTCTTTGATTCATTTTGAATTAACTTATATATGGTTTGAGGTAGGGATCCAAATTCATTATTTTGCCTGTGGATATCCAGTTGTCTCAACACCATTTGTTGACAAGACCTTTCTTTCCCCCATTGAATTTTCTTGGCACTCTTGTCAAAAATCAGTTGACTGTAAATGTGAGGGTTTATTTCTGGACTCTCAGTTCTATTCCATTGATCTTTATGTCTGTCCTTAGGTTTGTCCCACATTGTCTTCATTATTGTTGCTTTATACTAAGTTTTGAATTGGGAATTAAGAGTCTTCTAATTTTACTCTTTTTCAAGATTCTGGGTCCCTTGAATTTCCATAGGAATTTTAGGATTAACCTGTCAATTTATGCAGAGAAGCCAGCTGGAATTTTGATGGAGATCGCACTGAATCTGTAAATCAATCTGCAGAGTCTGCTAGGGTGACCATAACAAATGCCACAGGTTGGTGGTAGCTTGAATGACAGAAATTAATTTTCTGCAGTTTGGAGGATAGAAATTTAAGATGAAGGTATCAGCAGGGCTGTTTTCTTCTGGGGGCTGGGAAGGAAGAGTCTGTTTACAGACCTCTCTCCTTGGCTTGTGGATGACCATCTTCTTGTATCTTCACATGGTCTTCTCTCATGCATGTTTGTGTCCTAATTTTCTCTTTTTATAAGGACACTTGCCGTATTGGATTAGGGCCCATTCATATGACCTTATTTACTTTAATTACCTCTTTAGAGACCCTACCTCTAGCGTGCATGGATGGCTCAGTTGGTTAAGCTTAGGACTCTCGATTTTGGTTCAGGTCATGATCTCAAAGTCCTGAGATCTGAGATCAAGCCCCACCTCAGGCTTCATCTCAGGCTCTACTTCATTGGGCTCCACATCTGGCAAGAAGCCTACTTTTAAAAAAAAGTTATTATTTAACTGATATACTATTATATCAGTTAAAATGTTAACAAGGTGAGGAGTTACTATCTTTGCCTTTCTGTCAGAAAATGACACGTTGGAATACTTTTAACTCATCAAGTTTCATATTTTTGTTGCTTTCTGTTTCTGTTTACTATCTGCTTTTATTTTTTTTTAATCAGTGCCTTCTTTACTGTGTTTATATGGCTGTATCCAAGTTATTGAGATAAATGATTGGTTCTTTTATTTTGTTTTTCTTATTATATTCCAATGAGTCTATTTAGGCCTGTACTCTTCTTCTGAATACCAATATGGCTGTGTACTGGAGGGTTTGATGTGGACTTTTTTCAGTATTGTTTCAACATAATTCTTCACTACTTTTTAGTTTTCTACAGCTCCTTTTTTTCTTAATGTTTACTTACTTTTGAGAGAGAGAGCACACATGTGCGAGCAGACGAGGGTCAGAGAGGGGGAGAGAGAGAATCCCAAGCCACCCTGGCACCCCTAACTTTCTGTACCTCCTTTTTAATCTGAGTTATTTATTTATTTTCTAAATCTGAGTTATTTAGAAAGAGCTCTCATTTTAATTTAAAATTTAGGGGCATCTGGATGGCTCAGTCAGTTGAGCATCCAACTTGGCTTAACTCATGACCTCCCAGTTCGTGAGTTTGAGCCGCACGTTGGGCTCACTGCTATCAGCCTGTCAGCACAGAGCCTCCTTCAGATTCTTTGTCTCCCCTGCTTGTGCTTTCCCTAAAATAAATATTAAAAAGAAAGAGAAAATTAAAAATTTTCCCCAAGTAATTTTGCATACTGTAAAAGTCTAAGAGTAGGAAACAGCTTAAAATGGAAACCAATAGTCTTTTTCTCCCACCCCTCTTCTATCATAAAGTTCCGCGTCCGTCAGGCAACCTCTTTTAACTGTCTCTGTTTTCACTTGCTTATATGGTTACCTCCATTATACTAGATACTATGCCTATACCTCTATTTTTTAATTTTTACATTTTAAAATTATCTTTTGACTCATGAGTGTTCAACTTACTCTTTCTTCCCCTCTCAGTGTTTGATAGATGTATTGTTACTTTTGACTATTCTGTGGCTTACTTTTTAAATTTTAAATAATATATTTAAGTCTTTATTTCTAGTTCCATTTGATCTACAGCTTTTTAGAAATGTTTATGTATTTTTTTAGCAGCACTCTCCACAATAGCTAGAACATGGAAAGAGCCTAAATGTCCATCAACAGACGAATGGATCAAGAA